CCACTAGAAGGCAAAGGGTTACAGAGGATTGAGAACAAGAGTAGAGGCATGTTTGAGGAGAGGATACAGAGAAGGGCGGGGAACAGGCTCTGGGTGTCAGATGTCGATTGACATTACACTTGAATATTTGAAGATTATAGTCATCGGAGAAGCAAGTAAGGGGAAGGGAGTTCCACAGACAGGATGTGCTAGAGAAGAAGCTGTTTGAGTAGAAGAAACGATTATATTTAACCGTTTTGACAGTGAAAGGATGTGACCGAGATGCTAGCCTGGTAGCTCGCTTAAATTCATGCAGTCCGGGAACCAGCGAAGTCGGAACAGTTGCCGTTAAACTACTTGTAGAAGAAACAGAGGGAAAATGATTCTACAGAAGGATGCTGAGAATATCATGGAACAAACATGTGAGCAACAACGAAGTTCTAGAGACAACAGTGACAAAATGGTCACTTATACTTAACATTAGTAAGAGACAGTTGAAATTTCTATGGTACATAATGAGGAGAGAGGGCTTGGAAAATTTTATACTCACAGGACAGATTTATGGCAAGAGGGAAACCACACATAATCTACCTACGAGCTTGAGTAAATGGATAACAGAACAGGGTTTGGGGGAGATAGCAAAAAAAAAAAAAGACAACATTTATCAATTGTGGAGAGTCATGATTACCGTCGTAAAACATTATTCGGACTGTTATCCTCATCTTTCTTGTCATATTCACAACGTTTCGGCCGTTGTACGCCCCGGCCTTCTTCAGGGGATTTGAATTTTCGAACCAAGCCCTTTATTTGTCCACCGGGGTAGATTGTTCTAGTTCCACGTGCAATGGCCCAGTGGATAAATGCGTTGTTTAGATCCAGTGACTAGACTCAAAGAGTTGTGAGTTCAATACCAGGCTACAACAGTGGTGAACCAAAGCTTGGAGAGTTGAGATAAATGGAAATAACCGAGACACCTGGAAGAGGCATGGCACGTGGAACTAGAACAATCTACCCCGGTGGACGACATAAGGATTCGGCTCGAAATTTAAAAAGAAGTCAGAAGCGTACAACGGCAGAAACGTTGTGAATATAGCAATGAAAATGAGGTTAACAGTCTGAATAATGCAAATAATGCAAGTAATCATAATACCTCATCTCAGAGATCTAATCATCTGAAGAAGGCCGGAGCGTACAACGGCCGAAACATTGTTAATATGGCAATGAAGATGAGAATAACAGTCCGAATAATGCAAATAATGCAAGTAATCCTAATACCTCATTTCAGAGATCCAATCAGTTGAAGAAGGCCGGAGCGTACTATGGCCGAAACGTTATGAATATCTAAATGAAGATGAGGATAATAGTCCGAATAATGTAAGTAATGTATGTAATGAATTGATCATGTAGACAAAAAATTAAAAAAAAAAAAGACTGCAAGACAGGGATGCGTCACCTATTTTGCGGGGCGATCCTGACAACATTAGAAGTCCTGTCAGGATTTAGTCCTGGTGGTCGCAATCCTAACAGAGTAAGATACGAGGAAGACACCGTGACTATGGCTGATACAGAAAGAAAACTGTTAGAACTCCTAGACAAGGCTGTAAAAGAAAGCGTGAAGAAAGTATTAACCACAAATAGTAACAAGACGAAGGGTATGATTGTGCTAAGAGAGACAATCCCAGATGCGAGCTAAGATAGGAAGACGTCAAAATCTCTCAAGAACAAAAATTTAGCCATGTCGGGAGGTGACTAACAGACAACCAAAGATGTCACACGAAAATCCGAAGTTGCATTTGAATTGCGAAAAGATGTCTTACAAAAAACTATAGAAAGTAACGGAAAGATTTCATTAGAAATAATGTTAAGAGTGCTAAATAGCTATGTAATACGAATCCTTTTATAGTAGATGCTGGACAATGTCCTCAAAGAATAAGAGGAGACTGAAAAAACAAAGATGAGGATCTACAGAAGGATTTACAGAATACAAAGAAAAGAGTGCTTGAGTGCTGAATAATGCAAATAATTCAAGTAATCCTAATACCTCATCTCAGAGATCCAAACACCTGAAGAAGACCGGAGCGTAGAACGGCCGAAACTTTTTGAATATGGCAATGAAGATGAGGATAACAGTCCGAATAATGCAAATAATCCTAATACCTCATCTCAAAGATCCAATCACATTGAAGAAGGCCGGAGCGTAGTACGGCCAAAACGTTGTGAATATGGCAATGAAGATGAGGATAACAGTCCGAATAATGCAAATAACGCAAGTAATTTTAATACCTCATCTCAGAGATCCAATCACCCGAAGAAGGCCGGAGCGTACAAGGGCCGAAACGTTGTGAATATGGCAACGAAGATGAAAATAACAGTCCGAATAATGCAAATAATGCAAGTAATCCTAATACCTCATCTCAGAGATCTAATCAGCTGATGAAGGCCGGAGCGTAAAATGGCCGAAACGTTATGAATATGTGATATCAATCCTCCTATATGACAGTGAATGCTGAACAATATCCTCACAGATGAAGATGAGGTTTGAGACAACAGAAATTTGGTTCTGCGGATGCTGAGAATTCCATGGACAGAAAATGGGGACCAAAGAGATATGTGTTTAACATAAGTAAGAGTCTGTTTTGTTTTGTTTGTTTAACGGCATCAACTCCTGATGGATCATTTAATGTCGAAATTTAAATCTGAGGAAGCATTAAAAATTTCTTTTACAAAAATGTATTTCTACTACAATCTTTTGTTTTTCTATAAAACTGTATTGGTGATAATAAATTGTTTTGCCTTACAAAATGCATTGCTGGCAATAGTTATTTTTTTTTTTTTTACAAAATGTATTGCTGGTAATTTTAGCTATGAAAATGTTTTGCTGGCACCTATTATATAAAATTGTATTTCTACACTTTCAAAGAGTTTTGACCTCATTTGGGGTTAACGGTTTGCCCATAGCTAGCACTCTAACAGGTGCTACCAACCGGACTCAGGGTGGACCTAGGAACAACAGCAATTGAGAGGTGGTTCAACTCTCCTAAAACCTCACGATCAGTAGTCAACCGCGTAAGCATATTATATATATATATAAAGATATTTTTGTAGGTACAAAATTTAATGATCGAAATAAAAGTATAAAATTTAATATTACAAGACATTAAAACAATATTAAATAATAAAAAAAAAAAAAAAAAACTCAACAACAAGGGGAGAAGCAATTGGTTTCGCTCCGCTCGTCAGGCTTCCACGGGAGATTCAAAATCAAAACAGAGAAATGTACAATAAGAAGAATGGGAAAAAAAAAACATATATATATATATATATATATATATATATATATATATATATATATATATTGCTTGTATATATGCAAGAAGGAACTAGAGGCAGATGACAGCGAGTCCCAGCAAACACTCACGTTGTTTGAAACAAAAAAAATGCAGGGGACCTGATATATATATATATATATATATATATATATATATATATATATATATATATATATAAATTTAATTTTAATTTAAAAAACAGACTACTTTAAGGCTCCATTAATTATAATTTGTTTCACCAGAGAATTTTTATTTTTCTCTGGATCTTCAGATTTCAATTTCAAATGTGAAAAAAAAGAATTTAAAATTTACACTTTTGAAGGGCAGTATTAAGCTTACATAAGGTGACATAGAGGGTGATGAGGAATAGTGTGAGAGACATGGTCGAGTTTAGAGCGCGAAGTAATGATATGGGTAAAAGGAAAAAGAGAAAAAAGGGGAAAAGGAAAAAAGAGAAAAAGGGGAAAAGGAAAAAAAAAGGTGAGAAGTAAAGGGATAAAAGATGTACGTAGGGTTTTGGAGGAAGGGGAGGGGTGGTATAGCTTTAGCAATTTAGATAAACACAGATTTTAAATTTTGATTGTAATTTAAATGTTTAAAAACTCCACAAAGAAATTAAAGTTAATGCTTGTTAGCAATTTAAATATTTAACTTCTCCACAAATAAATTAGGGATTTAATATAAACCGAATATTATATTAATAAACAAATATAAATAAATAAAAATTTACTAATAGTAATATTTTAATATTGTGAATGACTGTTAAGGTAAAATCTTTATCGGTTAGAGTCTAATTCATGAATTTAATTTGAAGCTATTTTTAGAAGGGTAATATTTCTTAATTAAAGGTTAGGTTTCAAATCAAGATGGAGTAAGATTTGAAGGTAATAGTAAAAAAAAATTACTGTTTTTACATACACACACCGCATACATATTTACGTAAATACACATACATTCATATACATGTACAATTACATATATAACCACATACACATGTATCGATATACAGCAATCTAAATGCATATACATATACAAATACTTACATATACATATTTCCACACGCATCCATTTTTATACATATTTAAATTTTTTCTTAAATTTTACAGTTTAACAGCAGATATTTTTATATATAGTGCTCAATATTAAAAATATTAAAATATTGTTAAAAACAGAGCGTTAATTATACTATATGAAAAGATTACTTAACTTTTAATTATCAATTTGCTTTTTTTTAAGGGGGGAGAGGTCACGGTTTGTCCATAGCTCGGACTCTAACAGGTGCTACCACCTCAGGTCAGGGTGGACCTGGGAACAGCAGCAATTAAGAGGTGATCCGACGCTCTGAAAACCAGAGGCCTTGCTGCCGGATGTAGTTTATCTTCATACCCAGGACAGTAAGAAAGAGTCAGTCCGAATTTCTGGCACACAAATTTTTTAAGGCTTATCAACCCTTTGCAGGTTATCTAAAGCCAAAAAATATATTTATATATGAAGATTTTTTTAGATAATAATGGTCTAGGGATACAAGTCTTATTAATTAACCCATAGTTGGGGGAGAAGAGGTGGATTCATATCTTTCCCGTGGGTATTTGTGTGTAAGTGAATATAACGACGAACTCGACTTGAATTAGAACTCGACTCCAAGTCTAACAATTCTGAGCTATTATCCATTACGCCATCCGCATATCCAAGCTTACAGCACCTTGTATTCCCAAGCAGTCGTCACCCAGCTAGGTACTAACCAGGCTCGACGTTGCTTAACTTCGGTGATTGTACGAGAAGCGGTTTTAACAATAGAGTGTCGTCATAGATAGTCTATAGATATGTGCATGAAATAAGCTTTTGGGTAAAGATGTGCAAAAACCGAAAATTTTTTTCATACACCCGAATTAAGTGATTTATATGATATAATTTCTGGATCAATAACGATCTTTCCTTTCTTATGAAGCCGATCTGCCTCGACACTGAGGCGTTGTATATATTTCTACACTAGCTGACTCAAGTAGTGAACACAGGGCTCACCAGGTATTTTCAAGGGGTTAACCATCTAGGTTCAGAAGGGCCTCGATGTTGCTTAACTTGTTTCAACGTGCTGTGCCCGTAAGCGACATAAAGGGGAAAAGTGTCTTAGGGAATTTGATATTCAGCGAAGGACATAGTACAGACAAGAGAAACAGTGATCAAAATTCCTAACAAGCTTGTGGGCGTAGATAGTAGAACGTGGCCTGGAAGAGATAGTGTGTGGGAAAGAAGTGTTGATTGACTGACTTTGTTTTTTTTACGGTTTATCAACCCTTTCGTGGGTTATTTAAAGCCGAAGTATATTTTGGATTGTAAAAACATTATTATTTTTTGCGAACTTTTCGTGTGATAATGATTTTGTTATATTCACTTACGCAAAAATGCACTAGGGAAATATACGAATCCATCTATTCCCCCCCCCCCAGATATGGGTTAATTATTAAGGCTTGTATTTGTTTGGTTTAATTTGTTTTGCTTTACGGCATATCAACCTCAATGGGTTATTTAATGCCGACAAGATTTTTTATTGCTGGTAATATTTTTTTTAATGTATAGCTGGTAATTTTTTTTTTTCAAAAATGTCTTGCTGGTAATAATGTCTTGCTGGTAATAATTTTCTTCAAAAATTTATTGTTGGTAATAATTTTTTACAAAATATTTCTGGTATCAAAACCTTTATTTACACTTTCATAGTGTTTTGACCCCAGTTTGGGGGGGTAACTATTTACCCACAGCTGGGAACCTAACAGGTCCTACAACCCCGGATCAGGGTGGACCTGGGAACACCAGCAATTAAAAGATGCTTCCACGCACCTCAAAACCTCCTGATCAGAGGCCTTGCATCATCATCTTGCGGCCTCAGCCGAGATTGAACTCACCAATACTTTGATTGGCGTAGTTCATAATCTTGTCAAATAGTTGAATTCTTGATGCTTCGCTAGGGCTATCAAGGCTGTTTTTATCGTGACACCAACATTAAATGGATTGCCAACCAAGGCTCAGAGAGACTCCATTCACCCTCCTCTAAGAGCAGGTTTGAATTCAGAGTTTTCCTTCTCTTAGACCAGTTGCCATCCAAGGCTATAGAACCCAGTCTGTCCTGCTATTTACCTTGCAGTTGGACGTAATTTATCGTCATACCCAGGATACAAGATTTGTATCACTAAAAATATTATTAGAAATTCTTACTATCTAAGAATATTTCCGAGATGGTGGGGCGGACACTGCATTGAGCTACGAGACATGAGAAGTTGGAGAGAGCTATCATCAACCACCTGAAGGGGTAAGTACATACAAAAGAAATATTCTGTGAAACTGACATGCTAATCATAATTCTAAAGCGGAGCAGCTTGTAATTCGAAGAAGGGTTTAGCATTTTGGAATGATTTGGATTTAAATAGCGGAAACAATAATGTCAAAGAAATTCCCAGGAACTCTCCGGTTTAAAACCTTTGGCCTTTGACGTCTTTTTGGATGAAAAATAATTCTTTGAAATCATTTGTCACTCTAAAACAATTTCTATAAACCATCGCTCAAAATATTTGTCAGTTTTATCACTGCTAGGCCGCAGGGATTAAGCGTCTGTTGAAAAAGTAAAAAAAAAAAATAAAAAAAAGAATAACCCCCTAGTGTCCTTTGGGAGCTTTTGTCAGAACCTGCCAAACTATGGCCTGGGGACCATGTCCAGATCACCACAAGATTTTCTTTCTTTTTAATTTTCACATTTCTATTTTGTTTTGTATCATTTCATGCTAACTTTAAAATAAAAATATAAACGAAATTAAAATAAAACACACACATTTAAATTTTAATCATTCACTTGACTATTTTGGCTCGCAAATATTTGTGAAATGTTTGGAGGCTGTTGGATTATTATTCGGGGGCGGATGGGGTTAGTTGTTCAATAACCACTACGACTAGAAATAACTAATTTTTTTTTCATATTTTTCCTCATTACAATAGATTAACCACTCCAGACCGTAAACATCCAAACTTAAAAATAAAATTATTATTAAACATAGAGTGTTCCAATAACTTGGACCGATTTTAAATGTGAATTAAGTTTAAACGTCTAATGATTTTTTTTCTTTTTCTTTCAAATTTGACAACTTAAGTCTTTCGCAATTTCAACTATGGAAAGATTAACAACCAAACAACGTGTTAAAGTTAT